ATGATATCTTCAAACATATATTTTATTCAAAAATAAAAACATCATCGCTTTCTCAAAATCACATAAAGTCATATTATAACATCGACTGAGATAAATAATAAAATGAAATACTAAAATCATGATGTATCTCGCTGCATTGCGCGAGTACGCTTCTAGTTATAATAACATAGATATAAAAATAATAAATATATAGAGCTGAAACGAGCTTAATTTATTTAGCCTTAAATAAAGTTGCTTCGTCAATAATTTCCGGCTTCTAGCCACAACCACATTTCGGAAATATTTGGCTGCAAAAGTTGGTCCATCCACCATTTGCTATATTATCCTTTTTCTGACTTTTTCGTTTATTTATTTATTTATTTTCCAATTTGCCAGCCTGAACTTGAGAGCGAAATAACCAATATCAAATCAAATCAAATCAAATCTTTTAAAATATTAAGCACCGTAACGTAAATCATAAAAAGTTCCACTACCATCATAAATTAAATTGACAATTAATAACCTCAACCTTTTATCGAATTTCACAATACCCCCCTCCCTTTCCCCAACCGGTAAACGCCTACACCGCCAATCTCTTCAATCTTCATATGAGACTAACCAGAAATAAACCAAACCTAATCAGAAAAACGTGACGTAAGCACCCTACCTTTACCACCTTCTTTTTTCTTGTTCCTAGCTTGGCGCCATGTTTTTACAACCGGAGATGTGAAAACGCGATGATTGATGAATCGGATGATGTCGTTTCGTGTCTCTCCGATCATGCTTTAGACCTTGAGAATCTTCGCCGCTCTGACAACTGGATTTTCACGAGCGATAGCCTCACGTCCGGCAGCCTTGTAGTCGTAGCTACAGTCATGTCGATCGGAGTAGCGGTGCTCGGAGCAGAACATCTCACCACAACGGCACCTAAATCCCATCAATCCAACCTTCCTCTTGCAACCTGAGCACCGATTCACCTCGCGTCGCTTAAGCCTGTTGCTGATGATATTATCGAACGGCTCCACCGCCTCCAAGCGTCTTTTTTTAGGCAGATCCGTCTTTTCCGGCGAGGCACCGGAGTTCGGTCTAAAGTCAACGTTTACACCGGTGACGCCACCGCTCTTCAGATCCGATCTGTCTGGAGACGATCTACGGTCGTCTGAGGCGGACATCGTAGAAGAAGCGGCGGAGATTGGCGGTGTGCACAAGGTTAAGGTTTCAGGAACCTTGAGCTCGGTCTCCTCCTTCTCTCTCTTCTGAGCCATACCTTTTTGGGATGAGAGAGAGAGGGAGAGTATGCGAAGGGAAAGATGCTGCAGTTTTAGAGAGAGAAAGAAGTGGGGAAGAGATGGGGAATAACTTTAAAGGTCTGAAAGAGGTTATTGTTAAATGACAATAGTACCCTTGTGCATAATTAATCAGTTCTGACAACTTCCATTCAGGACCTGGAAAGAAGGAAAGAATACTCCCTTTCCAGAAACAAAAAATAAAATAAAAAATATTGTTTTTTTTTTATTTGTAATAAAAAAAATTGTTTTTTATATAATATTTAATGAGTTTATATACGATTTGGTAATTTTTTATAATATTCAAAAGTATTTATTATATAAGATAAATAAATAAAAAATAATTTGGAAAATGCATTTTTCTAAAAGAAACGACACTCACCGACTTATTAATATCACTTTTTTTTCTAATTTCTCATATTTATTTAAATGCATAGATATTTCATAATATCCTACATTATCTTATTATTAGAAAACGTTTTTGGATTTTTAATAAATTCATTATCTTTTCTTTCCACGTCATCATGGTTAAATTAATATTTGAGTAAATTATAAATTTGGTTTTATTATAACATTTCTAAAGATATAAAATATTTATTTAAAAAAATCTAGATTTGATCATTTTTTTATGTTTGTTAACTTTTAACCGTTAGATGATGGGTATTATCGTTTTTTTAGGTTTTTGTCGCATTTTCTATTAAAAAGTAAAATGACGTTTTAGCTAGATCCGACTACTAAAATGACGACAAGTGTACCGCCCACCCCTCCCCCATAAGACAAACCCTTTGTTGTACACCCTTTCCGGCAGCAACTCTGATACCCGACTCTCTTCTTCTTCGGCTTCATTTTATAAACCTCAAAATGATAAAGAGATAGACTCTTCATCATCCAAACCCTTAAGTATTCCATAAACTTCAATATTGGTATTAACTATTAAGAACATCATCTAAAGTAAACTGTAATGGTTGTGCATCATGAATTGCTAAAATCAACATCTAAAAGCAGAGATGAAATCAACTCAAAGATACAAATGATAATTGCAACACTGACATAGAAGTTGATGTTCATCTAATCGAATATCTAATTTTCCTACACCAATTTAATTATGAAGGAGGGAGATCGACAGTAAGGTGGGAGGACAAGTGGGCGGTTCAGGTCGAAGATGGGCAGTAGGATCGATGGAGATTGGCAGGAGATCGATGGATCCCGAAGATGGTATGGTGTTCACCGAGTTTCCTTCGATTTGTATAATGGATATATGTGTTATGATTAAGTAATACAATATATAATATTTATTAAGTGTCATTTTTAAAAGAAAATTGAAGGGAAAATGGTAAAAGTCTAAACTACCTCTCACTTCACGGGTTTTTTTAATTGTCGTTATAGGAATTCGGACATTTTTCTAAGCCACCGATGGTCATCTTGTATTTTTTAAACTATAGGGACGATAAATGTTATAATAAACAAACCATGTAGACCAAATTTGTAATTTACTTTTTTATGTTTTCTTAATCTTAAAAAGATGTAAGGCTACAATACTAATAAGCCGAAGCCATCGTTTTACGATCTCCACCAAAATTAGCACAATCCACGGAGGTTCCACAGTCATAAAAAGTGTCTCCTATTCAATACAGTAATATAAGATATTAGCATTAGACTTTTTGCCAAAAAATTAAGTTTCGTTTTAAAAAGAATTGTGATTGTTTTTTCAGAAGATATACAAAGATTTATCAATCTTGTTTTTAATAAAATCACACTTTACGCCATGCTTTTTGTTAGGGGTGCATGAAAATCCGATCCATACGACAAACTTGGCCAACCCAACCCAAAATAAACCCGATCGGGAGCCATTTGAATTATAATGAAGTTGTAAAATTTTTAAACTGTATTTAATGGATTGGAATAAACCCATTTTAAACTCAACCCAACCCGATAAACACAATATTTTTTTGTGTCATACACATATGCTACTAGACATGTTGTAAGCTCTACCTTTGATCTACACGACAATGACAAACAATTGGTTAACTCGTTTCATAAGTGGATCACAATTCCACCCATAATTTTGCTTTCCTATTTGTAAGAGTTTCCAACTTTTCTTCTTGATGCTAGTCTCCCTTTTTCTCAACGACTTTATTCTCCGTATATAACAAAAGGTCAATTAACCAGTAGTGATGAATAGTGTCTTTTTTAATATGTCGTTGCAATGATGTTAAGTCCCAACCTTGAGTTGGGTCATACTTAAATCTTTTCTAACCAATCAATATTTTTTGAACTTTTACGAATTGATTGAATTGTTCAAACATTTAAAAGTGGCGAGTCTCACTCATATTCAATTGTAGCTTCTATCACTTCCTAATATTACCTTAACGCTTGATTAAAAAAATTCATATTTTTATCGAAGTTTTAAGTATTTAATTTATGCTTTGATTTATGATTTTTAAACCATCATTTATTGTCAATTATCTATCAAAATAATCATAAAATGTTAGCACCTTAGACTATCTTTACTCACGGTCCAGAGAATCCGGCCGTGAGTAAGACAAAAGTTTTTAAAGGGAAAAAAATAAAAAACAATAATAATTCAACAATTCCTATTGATCCATCTTATGACACAACTCATATTGTTAATTTTATATCCATATCTTTAATACACATGTCCCTCATTGATTAGTTAGTTTAAATTTTTATTATTTAAAACTTAAATGATTAAAAAATGACTTTAACAAAAAAAAATTAAAAAATAATAAATATATTAAAATTCATGACTTTCAATTCCCTATAAATAGAGCCAAATATTGATATATTTCCATCACATCAATATTTCTATTTATTTCAATACTTTTGTTATCTTGTAAATTCCAAAAAAAACTTTCAGTTTCTTTCTGATTTATGTATTTTAGATATGTAATTTCGTACTTATTTTTGTTATTTTTTTTTCTTTTATTTCAATTGTATAGTAAGTTTTTTATAATTTTAATTATGTTTTAAAATATGTAATGACCTGTTTATTTTGTTCTTATACTTATACTTAAAATTAAATAATAATTATTATATATAAAAATAATTAAATATATGATTTTTATAAAATAATATTTTAGATTAAATTGAATTGTGGTTAAATAATAAAAGAAATAAGATTGGATTGAAGTTAAAAAGTGAATGATAAAAAAAAATATTTTAATTGAAATTAAGGTGAAAAAAATTATGATTAAAGATACTCTTAATACCTACCTATGTAATCAATTATTTGTAGTGTTGAATAAATAATGTTAATTGCCATGTTTATCATTACTTTTTTGGGTGCAGATAATTTAAAAACAACTACATCATCAGATGCGTCATGTTGCATTGGAAGTCCCGTACGGGTACCCACCAAGAAGCCTAATCCCATGTGGCTTAGCTCGGCTAATATATACCAAGGACAACAATGTCTTTTTCATTTTTTCCAATATTTTTTTAGAGTATTTCTAACAATAATATTACAATTTCTTAAATTCGGAATCTATAAAAAAATTATATCCACTTCTAACATTTATTTTATTTTAACAATTTTTAATATTAATTAATTATATTATCTTATAAAGCATTTGACTAAAACTATTAAAAATTCTTAAGACTCTTAAAGAAAACCTCTATTATTTCGTCTAACTAATTACAGATAAACATAATCAAATATTAGATAAACATCTCATTTTAAATATAAAATATCTAAAATATAATTAAGATAATCATTGAGTTATACTTAATAACAGAATACTTTATTATTATCCTTATAAAAATTATACTAGAAGGGTATTCGTGTAATACAACGAGATTCATCTCGATTTTAATGTTCTGTTTTATTTTTTTTGTCTTTGTCGATGTTATAATACCATTTTATGTGTTTTTAAGAAAGTAATAATGATTTTATTTTTGAATAAAATGTAAATTTAAAAATATCATTAAAATTCGAAAAAATTATATCAATAGTAGTATCAAATCAACTATTTAGAAGTTCTCATTTTTTAAATAATTTTTTATCATAATTTAATTTAAGTTTAATAAATTTATTTTTGATTTAATAATATAATATTTATAAAGATTATGTTAGAACTCAATGATTATCCTAATTATATTTTGGATTTTATATATTTAAAATGAGATGTTTATMTTATATTTGATTATGTTTATCTACAGTTAGTTAYACGAATTCAGATATGGAGCTTTAATAAGTTGTACCTACGTACAATATACTTGTAATCTTGAGTTTGAAGTAACATGCATTAATAAACAGTACTTTATTTATAAAAAGTGGATTTTAAGAGTTTTTGTCAAATGATTTATAATATAGTATAAATTATTAAACTAAAAATAAATTACTTTGTTGTTAAACCTAAATTAAATCATGGTAAATAAATTACATAAAAAAAACAATAATTTTTAAATAGTTAATTTGATACTAATATCGATATATTTTTTTCAATTTTTTATGAATATAAGCATTGTCGTTTTCTTAGAGTCACATAAAACCGTATTATATCGACAGAGACAAAATAAAACGAAACATTATCTCGATGTATTTCGTTGCATTGCGCGAGTATCCTTTTAGTATTAATAAAATATCACTCTCTTTTTTATTGATTTAATTTTAATATCTCTTATTAATAGAAAATAATTAAAATATAAATTCTGTTGTTTTAGAAATTTCTTTAAATTTCGAGATTTCCATCTTATCTCTTTTCATTCGTCTACTTTAGATCATTTAGCAAAAAAAATCTCAAATCTTTATTTAATTTAGTTGCTGGAGATGCTCTTATATGTTAACCATACATCCTGCTGTTTTTTGTTGAGTTTTAGAAAAAACAATTTTTTTTTATCTTACGGAAGTTTTTTTTATTGTTATGACAAATCGTAATAACCCGAAATGGTTGGGGAGAGCAAAGGTTCATTTTTTGAGGGTCCATCTCTACTGGATCCGTTCCCGGGAGTACCCTAAAGGAAGTTGATTAACAAAAATCGTATGAGTGACATAAAACAATTAACAAATATATATAT